ACAATCACTAATATATGAACATACCCTCAGCTGCTGTGTGTCCTTATCATGGGTTACAACAGGACTGTTGCCTCACGTGTGTGTCCCCCCCCACCCCGACCCTCACCCCCACAACTTGAAATACTATTGAGACCATGATAACATGTATTTTCTTATCTCTACAAACCACTGTATGAGTTACTGCCACCTTGGGGGGGCGGCCCCACTATTTGAGAAGTACTGGAGTAGTTACTATATCTATACAGTCTTCCAGTTACAACCGGCCATTCATGGGGAATTGCTGATGTAACCCTTGGTTGAAAATGAGTTCAACACCTCTGTGCTACGTGATTGTTTTTTATTTAAAAAAAGTTCAAAAAAATGTTTTCACAGCAAATATTAGCTAACAAGCTTAATACATTATGGAACCACTTACATTTGAATTGTAACGCTAGTGACAAGAATACCACGCGTTTTCAGGTGTTTAGCTTCACCCAGTTAACATTTTAAAGTATTAAAGAAAGTAAGTATTGTATGTAAAAAAACGCCAAGTGACTGTTTTATCCTGAAGTTACTGTCTCGTTTTGTCCTCTGTGCTGTGCTTCTCCGTCATTGTGATACAAGATGGCGAAATATAGTAATTGCCACATTGGGTAGTATAATGTAGTCACAAAACCCACTCATAGACTACAGGTGAATCTTTATCTGCTGATAGCCTAGCCTGCATGCAATCCAAAAATCCTTATGCTATCAGACCACTACTTGTGCCTCCTAACCCTTAACCTTTCCATTTCAGCGAGCCCGCGCTGACGAAGCAACAGGACCAGAGTTCTCGCGACTCCAAAACCTCATTTCAACTGCTTCTTTTTAAAGTACCTTTCATAAGATCTTTTACTTAATGCTGAGTGGGATAGAGGGGAAAAAGTCAAGAATGGAAAATAGCTCCATCTAACCACCGTTGCTACGCTGTGACAGGTTGAGCTTCCAGCAAGGTTACACAGGTGTAGAAACACATATGAACTCATTCGACACTAGCAGCCGAGTTGGTATTGATTGGCTCTGTTACTGGCATTATCCTTGTGATGGAATCCTGGGTTTAGAGTGGGAGAGTGATCCATGTAAAAAAGTAAGATGGCAGTCACTATTGAGAGAGAAAAAAAATCGGAATTTATAGTATTTCCCATCATTGTTGATTGACAAAAGACATGCGATGAAATGAAGATTAGAGAAAAAAATGCTTTTGAAGTGAAAGGTTGCCGTATCCACTGCTCGATGTTTTATCGATCATCCCAGTTTCTCTTTTGCGTTCTGCCTTCACACCGACAGAGTAAATTGGACTTTGCGGTGATTGACATCTGTTTTTCTCTGAACAACCTTTTCAAACGTGAAGTGAGAATTTCCTCGCCTTGAAATTAATAGTTTCCGTTCGCCAACAGCACTTCTGCTGAGAGCGTACGGCGTCTGAAGTGACAGGTAACTCGTGCTCGAGCTAAAAAAAAACCTACTGTGAATTTTGACAACTTTGTCAACAACAAAATAAAAATGAAGACAATGACAAATAGTGCTTTTGACACTTATTGCCAGGACCCACCCAGCAGAACCATATTTACAGTACAGGGTTTGAAGAATTTCTCATTTTGTAAAATAGTTCCATTAAACTTGATTTCTTGTTTTTTTTAAAAAATAGGTTTTTTGTTAAGTTAAATAAAAAGAGCTGGGACCGATCGATCACCACTTAGTGACGAGTCCTGGATCTAGAAAGCATTCACTCCTAGCCATGAGGCAATAATATGGGAGAACGCCAATACACTTGGAAGGTAAACTGAACGCAGCATGATGTTTTCAGGTTTTCTTTAGTCCACTGTTGTGTTTGTAGTTTTAATTTTTGTTTAGAGGCACAGATTGTTTTATAAGTACAGTCAGGAACTTGTACACCAAAGAGGGATTCCAGTGGACATGTATCTTACTTCAGTCCTACTTGGAATCATGAAGTCCTCATTTCCCACTCAAGTGATGAAGACTCTCAAATCAGCAACAAACATCACATAACAAACACAGTGGGTCCTCGACTCATGTCAGAGTTCCATTCCTGCACTACGATGTAACTTGATTTTCGCCTTAAGTCAGAAATCACATACTGTACACATAAGTACCTATGTCATTCACCTACACCAGTAGTCCTCAATTATTATCTGTCATCTCCTCTGACCCACACCCCTGCAAATTGAAATACTATTGAGAACCTGATAACATGTACATTTTTACCTGTACAAACCACTGTATGAGTTGCTGCCACCTAGTGACTGGAGGCTTGTTATCATTCAAGCATTACAGCAGTGGTACCATTATGTTCAGTGTGCCGTATTCCATTGGAAGCCACTATTTGAGAAGTACTGACCTACACTAATCCTGTGGTTACGTCATAATCTAAGACATAACAGAACATCAGAAGTGTCTTACTTACACTTAGCCGTAGTGAAGGGCAAAAAGTTCCCAAAAAACTACAAAAATAAATCGTAGCAAATGTACAGCGTAATCCGACCAATGTAAACAAAGCTGTCTTCTGCATATAGCGTCACGTGACGACGTATTCTTCCGCTCCACTTGCCAGCTAATAGGCACAGAAACTGGTTGGTGAGCTGAGCTGACAGATACGTTGTAAAGCTGTATGTCAAAATGATGGAGCAAGACTTTCTCAATAAATTTATTGGAGATGGTGACCATGAAGTGACATAGGTCAAGGACGTCATAAACCTGCGGACCCCGTGTAGTTCAATCAGCCAATCCAGGACTCTTATCCTGCTTCCTATAATGTTCCTTTAAAAAGTTTTTTTTTTTTAATTCCCTATAGTTGCTTAAAGTAGTGTTAGCTTAGGTGGGCTGATCTTACATCCACAAATTAAAGGTGACAGACATACTTTTTTATTGTATTAGAGTAAAACTGACTCTATAGTAATGTCAAAACTTGGACAAACTGATAGATGTTTTATATCTTAAAAGATTTAAAACACCTAAACTTAGCAATTCAGTTGAGGTTGATGAGACCCTAACTTATACTTACAGTAAATAGCATAGGCCAGGTGTGTCAAGCATATGGGCCGTGGGCCAAAAATGGCTGCTAGGTTGTTCAATCCGGTCTGCTTGATGGATTTTGAAAATAAAAACAAATATCGATAACACTTCAAGTGCTGCATATTTTAATAATAATTATAATAATAACAACAACAACAATAATAATAAAAATAATTATAATAATATTAAGGTTCTGCGATAATAAGACTGGTGCGACCAGTACCTAAGTTTAAAGTCTGTGTCTTTTACACGTGTTCATAAATTATGCCTGAGGAATAACACATTAACAGATTAATTATTTATTTGCAAGAATACAAACAGCAATAAGTGCCGTGGTCTAATTATGTAAATAAAGTGCAACCCAGATCTGATTAGATCCCTAGCCTGGAATTAATACCCACACCCTTCTTAAACTTCTTGAGCTTTTAAAGCCTGTATCTTTTCATTTAAATATGTTTTATTATCTTGTCACAATTTATTGCAGGAGGCGCCCTTGCCTCATTTGTTGATTTCAATTATCAGAGCAACCATCCAGGTGCACTGAGCAGATTCTGAAACTGCGGCCGTGCCTTTAATCATCCGTGCTGTTGTGATGGATCATTTGGAGAACGCGAACTCGCCGGCAGCACGACTGTGACCAACATTTATCACCTGAGGACAGATTATTACCTGTCCTCTATTTATCTTTAGTTGGTGACATTACAGGGTTTAAACAAACAATCCTTTTATCCAATATGCTTGGAAAAAATACATAGACCTCAGTGTACAGTACATGTTAATGAGTATTTCAGTGTAACACAAAGAGTCAAATTGTCATTCGTCTTCTCACTTTCTGTCCATCTGAAGTATCGATGGCTCGATTTGATACTCATGTCCGATATTGGTCAAAATTTCAAGAATATCAAAAAACAACTACATCCGATACCTAAGCCCAAAAATCTCAACTTGCACAACAAGCTGTAAACAGGGAGATGATCACCTCAGCCCTACAGCCAGTGTCATGCTGTAGGGCAAAATAAGTCACCAAATGGAATAGGTATCAGCAGATACTCCAAGTTGCAGTATCGGTATCAGACATGAAACAGTTCTATCAAGCCATTCCTAATCTTACATGTCCGATAATATTGGGTGACCGATATTATCAGTCGATATTAGCATAATTATATAATATCGGCAAGAATTGTTATCAGTTTTTGCACCGATAATGAAAATCCCATAATGCAATGTATGGCTTTCTCCCAGATGAGGTGACCTAAAAATCGTTTGTCACCTCAGTAATAATTAATACAAAATAATATGTGTCCTCTGCCTTTTAACCCAAATAGCTGCATATATCGGTATCGGTTGATATCAGAAATTAGGGCTTAGACAATATCAGCATATCAGATATCGGGAAAAAGTTAATATTGTACATTCCTATTAACTACCAGTCCACCATTCTGCTGGTCGTAGACAGTGCTCCATCGTAAGCAGCACACAGCAGTTGTCCTGTTTTGCACTGCACCACTACTTAAATACATCATTCCCTGTGGACAGGTCATGCAAGGACATAAAGCTGGAAACTATTTGTAACCTGTTTTTTTTTTTCTTGAACGCGTTTTCACCAAACTTGTCAAAAGATACTGCAATGTTTAACTGCCTTTAAACTCTATATACTCATCATCCTTTGTCTACTGCATTTTTACCCATCTGTTCTTGGCGATGTTGTCCAGGACCGACTCCACTCTGCACCTTGCATTTCTAATATAAATGTTTCTTAACAGAAATAACAGAAAAAAAAAAGTTTTTGCAATAAATAAAAAGAATTCAAGGAAAGACAAGAAAAGTCAAGCCTTGTAGTTCTTGAAGCACTTCTAGCTGCTAGCTAACTCTCTGGCTTAGCACAAATGCAAGGACAATACAGTCTTCCATACTCCTTTGTATTAATGTAAATTTCTTGTGTCCCTCAGCGTCTCCGACCGTCCCTCCACTGCACTCGGAGCACTTCAAACCTTGCCATGAAAAGGACCTGACCTACTGCCTGAATGGAGGGGAATGCTTCGTGATTGAGACACTCAGTGGGCCCCACATGCACTGCAAGTAAGTGACCATATACCTATCCCTTATTTCAGTCGTACCGCTGCTAGACTATCTTTCCGATATCCAAAAGAATGCCTTTGTTTGGTGTAGATATGTTGACGGTGGGGCTAGTTTCCACACTCTGCTTTTCTGTAATGAGACCGTGAATATAAATTTTAGGTCGGATGTTTAAGATATTTTGTCAACAAATGGTGTACTGGTCAGTAGGTTAGCAACATCATGGAATCTTTTTTTTTTTTTTTGATGAAGGTCAGTATCTGACATTGTGGTCTGTTAGTAGTATTCTTGAATATCCATTTTTACCATACTTCTTAACCAGGCGTGGGGAAACTTTTTGACTTGTGGGCCACAATTGTCCTAAAATTGAACAGGGGGGCCGGGTCAGGAGCAGATAGATGGAGCATTCATATGAGCTAAGATAAACTACATGTAGAAGGCACAAAGGCTAAAATGCTAACTTGCTTTTATTATTATCTACGCCATCTATTGGGGAAATGTGGGTATTTAGGGAAAAGAAGAAGTAGCAGAAGTATAATGATAATATAAATAAATTATATAATTTGGAAAAGTTTGGCGGGCCAGATTAAGAAGCTGAACTGGTTAAGAAGCTGATTTTGAGTCGGATTAAACAAGCAAACGGGCCGCATCCGGACCCCGAGCCGTAGTTTGCCCATGCCTGACCTAGCCTGTATGTACAGTATGTATTTTGGAACATGGATGGAAGAACTTCTTTCTGTCATACAAGCTCAATTCCATTGCTCTAGCATATGATGCATTAAGTGTAGCTACGGAGATCAAAGTGAAAGGTTTTGTCTTTATAGTTTTCCCAAGAGCCCAGTGTCTGTGTGTGTGGCTAGGTCTGTGCCTGGCTCAGGGTGCTAAAGTACAGATAAGAGACAACTGGCAATGAGTTGATCTCTGCTGCGTGATTGTATGGCAATAAACTCTCTAAAAGAGAGATATGGACCATTAAACGATATGGCATCCACTCCGAAACTGAATAACAGCTGGTATGATCCTGCAGTAAAGCTATGAAGTGTTTAATGCTTTACTTAAAGGAAGATAATGTTTGGAGTTTAGTATTGGTAACATTTTATGCTCTACAATTGAAACTTTTTTTTTGTTTTCGTGACCCACCAGTCAACACAATTATGGTTATTTTCTGAAAGGACTATTATGAGGTTCTTTTGGGTTTTGTGTTATACTGCAGTGGTATCAATTTGACTCAACCTTAGATAAAAATAGAATATCTCATTTCACTCATATGAAACATTATATTTTTGGAAAGATGAAGCCTAGAGGTGTACAGCAGTGATTCCAACCAACAGAGAGATCATTAGGTGTGCCTTGGAAAATTATCTAATTTCACTTAATTTAGCTGATTTATTTATTGCATAGATTATTTCTTTGCTTGTCGTCACATGAAAAGCAGAACAATTAAATATTCTTCTTCTAGCTGGCAGCAGATGGCTATGAAAACTTGAAACTATGAAAACAAAGGTATTCAAAGCTGTTGAAGATCTTTTTGAGTGTCTTTCTTCAATTCCTGTCAGTATATCAGTATTGTCTTCAACTAAACACGGGGAGATTTTTCTCAATTATGACGTAATTTAAACTAGAAGATTATTATATTTCATTACATTATACTTTTTGTGATATTTTTGTTTGACGTGTGCCGTGGTGTTTTTTTTTTTCTGATATATATGCGCCATCGCTAAAAAAAAGGTTGGGAAAGACTGGAGTAGAGGTAGTAAAGGAGGATAGGAGGATAGTGATCAAAAGAGGTAAAGATAAGGGTGCAGGCAGAGTGGAATGGATGGAGATGAGTATCAGGGTCAATTTGTGCAAGTTAAAGGGGAAGGTTAATGTGACAATAGTGAGACCTGCTATGATGTAGGGTTTAGAGTAGCTCTGGGATGGAGGTCAGAGAAGTGAAGATGTTGAGATTTGCACTGGAAGTGACCAGGATGGACAGTAGCAGGAATCTGCAGATCAGTAGGTCGGTTAGGTTGGAGCAGTTTGGAGATAAAAATAAGGAGGTGAGGTTAAGGTGTTATGGACATATGGAAAACAAAAGGACCTCAGAGAAGGATGTCATGAAAAACAACGTGAAGATGGTTGGTGTAACAGTATCTGCACGAACAGCTGTAAGACGAAGAAGAAAATAATGTATTTAATTCACCTTAATGTTATGGCAATGTTATGAGTAGCCAGTGTACATATGAGTTCAAGTATTTTACTGCAACTACTGCAGTCTTTACAGCGTTCTTTACAAAGCATGTAGTAAAGGTTTAAACCAGGTAATCAAACTCATTTTGGTTCAAGGGCCGATTACAACCTAATTAGATGTCACGTGGTACAATCATGACCTAATTAACTATAAATAACAACAAGTCAATTTTTGTCCTTTAATTGCAAATAGTAAAAGTATATTAGATATTTATTCTTATTATTATTGTTTATAGTGGCGCTTTGGCCCAGAGGCAATGTCTCTGTCATTGGTGTGGAACCCCAGGGTTCACCTCCTGGGCAAGATCGAATCCCGGTTATGGTGTTTGGTACAGGGGGGTTGGTATGGCGCAGTGTGATTTGGGTGGCGGTCATGGAGACTGCTGCCCCTGCAAACCGGTAACGGATAAGTGGATGAAAATAGATAGATGGATGGATGGATTATTTTTGATGTTTAATGTAATTTAATTTTACCAAAAATACCCTGAACATTAAGTGTTCGAATTTCATCAAGTTTCATCAAACATTTGGCCCTTGGGCCTTACATTTGGCGGCCCTGGTTAAAAAAAAATCAAAATTTCTGTTGCAATTCAATTTTACACTCCAAGTTATATCTTGATCACATTTTTTTTTTTAATGTGAAGGGATTAAAGTTTTCTCCTTTAACATTAGCATAACCTCCAAATACTTCAAACAACACAAATGTGTCTCATAGTTTTGTCGACTGACAGTAATGAGTATAAATGTATATGTAGGTGGTTCAACAATAGTTATTAAAGATACACGCATATAAAAAAAACCTACAGAAAGACACACACATGTAAAGAGTTTGTTTTTATTTTTGGCAGAATCTGTTTTTTTAGCATTTGCTAAGAGGTCGAATTGTCTCTGGGATCTGTCTTTTTTGGTTATATGTTCTTATCTTTATAATAGCTTGGAGGCTTGTTTATCGTTCCAGCATTACAACAGCGGTACACTTCTGTCCAGCATGGCATTATCCATTGGAAGCCTCTCACACCTAACCCCCCGACTCCCAAGCACCCCCTAGGGTGCCCCACCCCACTATTCTTTTTTTTCTTTTTTTACAAATTTCTAATTGTTCTTTAGGGTTCTTTGACAAATGAGTGATTTATTTTTTTATTTATTTTTTTACTATAAATGTGGCTGAGCACAAAGTGCACTCTCTAACCAGGGTGAAGTATGGGCCCTGTCTCGTAGCTGTTTGATAGATGGGAATTACAGAGTGATGGAAGGTCAATCTTAAATGATAGTGCTGGTGAAAGCAGTGGTCCACAACACAACTGCTTGCTGAGTCTGAAACACGGAAACATGAAAACCAAAAAGTGACATGCACCCAATCCTTAGAGCTCCCCGTGTGTTTGATGTTTAGCTATTGTGTTGCTGGTTCAAAAGGTGCATTTCTTTAAGGATGTGAGGCAATTCTCTGTAAGAGTCAGCCTAAGTGACTCAGGTTGAAGAGTCACCCTCTCTTTGCACACAGATGTGAAAGTGAAAAGATGAGGGGAATTCATACTTCTGCAGAGATTGTCCTCTAATGTCTTCTCCATCATTCACGTCATTTTAGTTTAGCTGTTTTCTGTCTCTTGAGCCCTACCACGAATTATACTTTAATAGTAGTCCCTGTGGTTTTTAACCTTACCCTTTGTATCAAAACGACCCCAGAATCTGACAAACTTTCTCAAAGACACAAACCACGAAGACTATGATGAAAGAACACTTGGAAAAGAAAACTAGAGGTGTGTAGATACCCAAAAAAGAGGGGTGGAAATTAAATTAAAAATTAAAAGTACTCATCTAAAAGTAAAAGTAAAAAAATATTTAATTTAAAATTTACTTTGAGTAAAAGGCTTTTACTTTGCTTAAATGATACACAATTAAAAGTACCCATCTAAAAGTAAAAAACATAATTAATTTAAAATTTACTTTGAGTAAAAGTTACTTAGTTACTTTCGATTACTTGATGCAAAAAAATAATGAGTCATGCATCCAATCTGCAACTAGTTGTTTTTAATCAACAATTCAAATACAAGCTCACTTAAGTTCTGACAGTGACAGCTCTGTCCACCGGGGGAGGCACATTTTACGTTGCATGATAAAGTTATTGCCTGGTTTGCATTTGAAAACAAAGAGCTGACTGAGATAAGGTGAAGAATTTCCCTCTATTTCTGCTCTCCGCTTGGCAATCCTCTACCTCCTTTTGTTTGACACCAGTCATCATCCAACAACAGGCTAGAGCAGGCATGAGGAAACTAAGGCCCGGGGGCCGGATGTGACCCGTTTAGCTTTTTAATCCGGCCCGCCAAACCTGTCCAAATTTTATAATTGATTCATATTATCATTATGCTTCTGTCTTTTCCCTGCAATGCCCACACTTCCCCCAATAGATGGCGTAGAAAAAAACTAAATGTATTTTAGCCTTTATGCAGGACTTTCACATGTCATTTATGTTAGTTGACACAAAAACTCCCGCCCGTGTGTCAAAATGTTTGTCCATGCCTGACCTAGAGTCTGTCTCTTAGTCAACTTAAAATAGTGGGGAAATCCTCATGCCCACACAAATTTCTTTCAGTTAACGCAAATAGTTTTTTACTTTTCTTTTCCAATTTAGCAACGTAAAATACTTCCGTCAAAATGTACTTACGTAAACGTAAAGTAAAATTACCTATTCCCAAAACTACAAAAACAATTACAAATTACTCGCAAAACTACTCAATTACAGTAACTTGAATCAGTGTAATTTGTTACTTTTC